ATATATTGTCGAACTTCTTTCGCTCGAACCCGTAGGGCACGTGCAAATCTGTCGAAGAGATCGGTAGTAATCGGTTGATTTTTTATGCACAAAAAGATCATACATTTCGGGTGCATGGATGTGAAGGATATCCCGGTTATATACGATACATGGTATAAAATGATACAATTTACTTAGCCGCTTCTTGAGGGAAGCCCAACTACTTATCGTCGGCTTTAGAAAGGCTGTTGCTTAAAACATATAACTGAGAAAAAAAGTGTAAGTTTTAAGCAAATTTTCCTTGGCGGTTTAAGCCATGTTACTGCTGAATACAGGTGACCGCTGATTCAGGTTTTTCTGAAGATTTTTGTTGGTTTGTTTGTTTCATTTTACGCCTTTTCCCAACAGTATTTCAGTCATATGGGCGGGTAGTTTCCTAACCATCGTTCTTGGAAGTACTAGACTACCTTCCTCCGTGCTAAACTACCAAAGCATCTCCCGGGGATCGAACCCACGCCAGAGAGGTAACTGGATTAGGAGTCATCGACTCAAACCCCTCGACCACGGAGGCGGTCGTTCCTGAAGATAGCTTAGCACCTGTTTATCCTATGTAGACTGTACACCAAAGCAGTTCCATGTCTTCTCCAGATATATTGAATGATCGTGTTTTAATTTTGCCACATGGCCTCAATGTTGCATTTGCGGAAACTTATGACATAAAACTTTTGTTGACGAACAGTATACACAGAAACATTTAGTGCGTTCGTTGGGTTTTATAATGTCAATATGATTTCGCACAAATTTAATTAGGAACTAAAACACGATCAAAACCTACGTTATATAACCAAATTTTTGTGCAAATGATAAGCGTACTATGCTTCATAATGATTTACACACTTATTGACTAATAAAATACGCTTAAACGTGCCGTTAATAAGCACAAGAAACACACTGGCAGTAACAAAAGTTATCATAAGAACTCCAGGACATATTTTGAGTTATCACAAGAACTCCGTAACATTTGAAAAATCGGGTATACATTTATTAGCCCGGGCTTTATGTTTGCAACTCTCCACTATAATTAGGTGATTATGTATAGCAACGAGGAAGATCACAAATGAAAAGGTCAATATGTACGAATTAGCAAGTAATTTGGAAATTTTTCTCAAAACTACCAGGGTTTTTTAAAAAAGGCGACGAAATATGGACTAAAAGATTTTGTCTGAAACATAATACAATATGTAGGGCAAGCTTAATTATCAAAGTTTATTTTAGCACCTCAAACTCCCCATTTAAAGTTAAAAATAACCATTTTTTACGCGATTTCTCCAAGTATATAGAAAAGTTTTCCACAGAAATCCGTAACGTTTTCCAGGAACTCCGTGACAGTTATCATAAGAACTCCAAACAAGTTATCATAAGAAATCCATCCTTCGTGTAACACTTCCTCCCCCGTGATATTGTCACATCAGCGTTTGAAATCACTTTGATGTGCTTTTTTGCATACTTATGCTACCTTATTACTAAGATTGTTTGGTTAAGATTGTGCGTGTAACCAGGTATCTGAATGACTTCTGAAGGGAATGGGTTAAGATTCACGCTTGAATTTTATATCTGATATCTAAATCATTAAAACTTTTCCCCGCAGGAAACCATTTAAACTTATATTAATATTTGCATGACAGTATTTTAGCATCATTTCACTTTCCACATAAAAAATTGATGATTTAAATAGATAGTGTGTTGTCTTCATATTATTGTCATCTTATTTAACACTTGGGGCGTCCGTGGCCGATTGGTTAAGGTCGTTGACTTCAAACCACTTGCCCCTCACCGCTGTGAGTTCGAGTCCCGGCGGGGACTTTGGATTCTTTCATGTGAGGAAGCTATCCAGCTAGCTTACGGAACGTCGGTGGTTCTACTCAGGTGCCCGTTCGTGCCTGAAATAATGCACGGAAGGGCACCTGAGGTCTTCCTCCACCAGTAAAGCTGGAACGTCGCAATATGACCTATACTGTGTCGATGTGAGGTAAAACCCAAAACAAACAAACAAAAATTTAACACTTGATATAAAACTGTTGTTTGTGTCACTCCTGTTATTAGGTAAAACGCAAATATAAATAAATTAAGAAATAATCCTATATATAAAATATAAATATTAATATTTCATAAAAAAAACTGACCGATACTCAAAAGCTTAAAAATACTCAAAAGTTAAAGTCTCCTAAGGAAACCATAGAATCCACAACACATTCTACAGAATTTGCAACTCCTTTATCTTAAATTTAACAAAAATAGCTGTTTTAGTTTAATTAGAGCTTTGCTTTAAATAATTATGTACAGTCTAACGGGATATTTTTATGAAATTATAAAGTCGGTAATTTTAATGATCGAATTCAAGCTTAAGTCACAATATTTTCCAACATTTTTTTTTCTTAAAGCAGTGCAAACTGTTTTATAACTGTTTATAATTATCAGACTAAAAACATGTGAAAAACCATATAAAGCAATGTTTAATTAAAGACATAGGTACGTTGGTGAAACAAATGTACAGACAGCTAGGTCATCTATTCTCTGTACTTTAATAAAATATTGACATTGGAAGCCAATTTGTCAACGATGATATATACTTTTTTTTATCATAATTCGATAAATAGTAATTATCAAATTACTTGTAGGTAGAAATAATAAGGAAAAAAATATTATTTAAAAAAAACAGTCATACAAACCGGTAGAGCAATCACTGTTTATGGACGTAAAGCCCTTCGCACACTGACAGTCTTTTCCCAGAATCATATTGCCAATGCACGTTCCTGGAAAACACCGGGCTCCGTCCTTCCAGGAACATGCCCCTATACAAAAAGAATTTACATTGAAATATAATTCACAAATGTATGCTAACGGTATAAAATAATTATGTTTTTTTATATGATAACAATTACATGTATGATTATACTATATAGTTTTTATGGGGCGTCCGTGGCCGAGTGGTTAAGGTCGTTGACTTCAAACCACTTGCCCCTCACCGCTGTGGGTTCGAATCCCGACAGGGACTTTGGATTCTTTCATGTGAGGAAGCTATCCAGCTAGCTTACGGAACGTCGGTGGTTCTACTCAGTTGCCCGTTCTGCCTGAAATAATGCACGGAAGGGCACCTGAGGTCTTCATCCACCAGTTAAGCTGGAACGTTGCGATATGACCTATAATGTGTCGATGTGACGTAAAACCTAAAAAAATAAATATAGTTTTTATAATAAAAGGTGTTTTCACCCGTCGCTGCACATTCCAAATTGTCTTCAGTAGTATTTTCATTTAATAAATAATTTACGACAATAAAATAAGTTATGCATTGTGATACTGATTGCAATAATGCAATGCAGAATGTTTACTCCTAATGCTATATCAATTATTGTTTGATGTAAAAAAGAGAAAATAGGAATCCCTTAATAAAATAAAAAAAACAGCAAAATTGCAGGCTCGGTTTGATTGAGCCTGTTCATGGACGGTACTGTCATGTGCAAACTACCCGTTTACGCCCTTTAGCACCGGCTTAAGCAGAATGAAACATTTAAACATGAAATGGCAAAATTTTGAATCCAGCAACAACCACAGATGTGTTCATACGGCGGCTATCAAGGAACCTTCAATGTGACACTTCCGTGCCATTCAATGAAAACCGGCGTATGGTCCCTAAGTAATAGAAAGCGTGTTCCCTACGAGAAAACAATGGGCGGAACTAAACAAAATGGAATTTTGAAAGGGGGTCAGAGGGTATGAAGCCTGCATATCACAGATAAGACGTCAAAAGACAAAATTAAAAAGCAGATAACATATACTAAGGGTGACTGAACATTATCCAAGTAGAAATATTGGAATCACCAAAATCGAAAAAGCCAAATAGTTGAAGCTAAAAAATACCACAAACACAACAATAATGTCGTGTTGAACGATCTTTAAGGATCGGAAATATACATTATTCTGATAGAATGCACGGTCGACATTTTTACAGCCTTCACACGGCAGATATGTAAGTCGCATATTTTGATTTATAAGGGCCATACATTTTTAATGTATACAAAAAGTTAACTCTATATTAATATTGGACTTGCTTTTTTATTTAAGTATTATCACGTCAGTTTGAGTTTGTGAAATACGCATTTTACGTTTTAAAAGGAAATGTTAAAGCAACTGAAATCAATGAGTACTCTCACCCACGCAACACAAGATGTATTGAATCCTTTAATGTTTATTATCGGTGGTGCATGTGGGGTCACGTGCTACAGAACCAGCAATTGTATTAAAATAATAAATAAAGAATAAATGTACATATACCCTTACTTTGTACTAGTATGATAATTAAACCACTTTATCCCATTTTATAGAACAGGGAAGTGTCGAGCTGATTAAATTGATTACAACTTACTTTGACATAATTTCTTATTTGGCTCCCCTGTATAAACGTTATAACCTGGTTTATCCCTGATATATTCCTCTTCACAATTCTCACACAAATAATTACTCCACGATGAGCACACAGAACGATTACATTTTGATGGTCGGTAACACGCTGAAATTTATTAGATATAACATGATAAAGTTTGAGATATTTGCAGATTTTCACTTTAATTTGACCATGCACTAAAAACTAAGCTCTCATTATCAAATGAGCAATTTGTTAGTTAGTTAGTTAGTTAGTTAGTTAGTTAGTTAGTTAGTTAGTTAGTTAGTTGGTAAGATAGTTAATTTTCTCGCAACTTTTGGTCAATTCTCAGCGGCTGATTCACCTAACAAGCTTTCCTTGATAAAAAAAACCAGCAGTTACCAATTTCTACGCAATTGACAGACTACTAATCCCACATGTTTTACCTTATAAGTCAACGATGAGAGACAAATGTTTATTAGACTCAACATCGAAAATCAGTTGTAAGTTTATTACTCTTCGCCCGAAGATCAAACCAGCGACCACTGCATGACTTATTTGATGCTCTCCACACACATGCATATAAGTATAATCAAACGGACTACCTTTGGCAATATCCACCGTTGGAGCTAACAGGGTAATATCCTTTGTTGCAGTTTCTGCATTTGAATGGTGCATAGCATTCCCCGCCACTGTTTCTGACCACATTACCACTTTTGTATTTAACATAGCCCTCGTTGTTGACATTGCATGTGTGTGCACCGTATCCATTTTTGCATTTTGCTAAGAAAGATATGAAATTCTCATTTTTCTTACTGAGTTTGCAAATTTATATAAGGTTTTCATCTTTTCATTTTCTTTTGTAAAAGCAAAATTTGAATGAAAGAGTTTCTTTATTCTGTTCAATTTCTTAAAACAAATAAACTTATCATGATTTACTGATATTCGTTGGACAATAATTTACAAAAATGTTTGACACAAATTAATATGAAAAAGTTGTAAAATATAAAGTATGATACATTTGCATCGATGAAGAAATATATTTTATTTTATAACTTATGGAAAACATTTTATATACAAAATTACGATTTGAGCATGCGTTTCCGTTGTAATTATGACAGCAAACTTTTTGATGGTAATAACTGAAAATGTAAAAAACAATCTCATTGACAATACAACTTTAATCATAGTTTAAAATGTTTTATCCAAGTTTATCGTCATTACAACAGTACTGTTCTCAATTGGAAAGTGCATAAATATATATATGTTTTTGAATTTATAAGGTTTTTTAAGGTTAGTTTTTTATTTGAATTATTTTTATTATCTCTAATGAAATAGTATGATAACAATTGAAAAATATAGACACTGAATAAAAGAAAAGACAATATTTTGTCCTTTGCGTTCAGGAACAAAAATTTATTCTAACAGTATCTAATAATACACAAATTACTTTGTTTTACAGCCATGTCCCCACCACCACCCGCTACAGGTTCTTCGAGATCCTTGGATGTATTTGTAACAAGATCCCGCTTCTGAACTGAAATATTAACAAATAATTATCAGACAAACAAGATTTCATGGATAATTTAAAAGTAAATATAAATTTCTGTGCAAATGACCGACTTCTTATCTACATGATTTCTGATTCAGTAGTAAAAGACAAACAACATTTACAAGACTCAATGTTCGAGATCATTTGTCACGGAGAAGTTTGGTTGCACCAGAGGCCTAACTAAAATTTAGTGGAAAAGACAAACAAGAATGATACGACCACGAACGGATATACTGGAATCAGACGTCTCGAAGGTCACGTGACTCTCCACGAAGCGGCCGCCAAGAAACCGTCTGGCGTGCTGTTTAAATATTTTCACAAGTGAAATGTTGATGCTGCACATCAAAGACGCCGCCAAATGATGTGAACAGTCACAGTTAATGTACAAAATCAGCATTGACAATTGTTCTCTTTTACAGTTGAATATCCGAAGTCATCAGAGCAATCCATATTTACTTTAATGCATATCTACTAGCCATCGCGTACATATGGCGTCTAATCATTTCATAAACGGTGCTATGATTTACGCAGCAATTATTAAAGTATTTAAATGTCTAGTTCTGTATGCAACATATAAAAAACTTTTCAAACATCGTCAAAGGTATATGTTTGTATTAAATTCCCAAAACCACTTCCGTGTTGTATTATGTTAAAATTTAGATAATACTTCTCGTTCTCCATTCTTTTTTGTCATTTTAAAGAGTATTGACCTCATACTTTTGTTTATTTTACCTAGACATAATTGTATTCGTTTATATGTGATATTAGTTAGTTTTCTTTTATGACCGTTATTTTCCTGTTCAAGTGTTTCTTTTATAACCCCTCACTTTTGAAAATGTTATTTTTACTGTAAGTGCAAGTGTACCACATGACTAAGAAATTTGTACGGTTACATAGGTAACAGTATAAATCTAGTCACGTGTTTTATTTTTTTTAAATTAAATGACCACATTCTTTTTCTATATCTCGATTCAGCCTCTAATTTATTCAAGTTCATCTCGAAGGGGGTTCACCATAATGTCTATGACGCCCAGAAAATACAGTTGTGTGTACTCTTAAATGCTTTTCGAGTCTAAAATATCTTTTGGTTGAACAGGGAAGTCACTGCATGGGAATAATTATGTGCCAAAATATAATGAGCAGACGATTAAAGCATGCAGTGAAAAATGACAGGTGTGTTAGACATTTGTAGAATAACATGGTCAACGAACATTGTCAAGAACCATTGCATTAAAGTTGATGAAGAATACTCTAGATATGATCAGATTTTACAGATCATAACCGTATAAATGGGTACGTATGTTTTAATTATTTCAATTCGTTTATAGATATTAGATCAGATTGCATAAATACATGTACAAGAGAAAAAACATGATATAAATAAAACATATAAAAGTCACAATAGTGAATGGCATGCAATATCTCAGAGAACAACTTAAATCATGACATTACATAATTATGTTGAACTTTATAATTATGTTAAAGTTAGCTTTATCTATAACATAAGAAAAATGCGTATAAAAAACAATACAGAAAAGAATAATAAAGAATTATGTGTAGATCTAAATTTTCGAAAAATCAGTGTCACAGGTAGTTTAATCTAGATATATAATTGAAAGAAAAATATTTGTATGGATGCTCAGATCGAAATCAGACCACAAAGAAAGAGGTATTTGTTGGTCTTCCATAGTTTACTTGTGTCATGTGTAAGATTGATGAGGGTCACCCACTCCCTGTATGTCTAGCCTGGTGAAAGTGTACGCTTGTGTTTACATTTAATGGGTAGAAGATGCACGAGTTTTGTGTTACAATAATTACTTAATTTTGGATTTACATTGTCCAGCATTAATAAGCTTTAGAGGGTGACAGAATGCCATATACAGACCTGAGAGATAGGTGAATTTCCTCTAAATGTATACTTATCATTTTGAAAAAAAACAACAACAACCAAAACAATAATTAAGAAAAAAAAAAGAAAGGAAAAGGGGGCGTGACTTTTCTATAGTAATTACGCCATTTTTCTGACATGAGGAATGTTTTATTTTATATATTAAAGATGGTGGAACGAACAACAATATACATGTGAAATTACAAAATTAACAGCGAAACATTTATATTATAATTGAAAATTTGTGTTTCAGTTTTACGATTTGGTCACAATCATATTTTTCTACACAAAATTATATGGCTCTTATGTTTTAGTACTGATTAAAATTACTCATATATGTAGAAAATAAACATGAATCAAGCAAACAAACATAAATGAATAAAACACAACCACTGGAATACCTCAAGTGTACTTACTGTCCAACAGAGCATAAAAAATGAATGACTAGTTCAAGTGTTTTTCTAATACAATTGGCTGTAAACTTTATTTAATTATATAAGTAAACAAATTAACTATGGCAGCTGTTGTCGGTGTTGTGTTTGTCAAACAACATGCACTATATACATACATGTATCTGCTAAAACTGCTCAAATGACATGCTAATGACCACTTAAAAGGTATTAATACTTTTAGTTATACAAATACATTTACATTTACATATTCATACAAATAAACATAATAAGTTTTAACTGTAACATTACTTGTATACATTGACAAACATACACAATATTAAATTTTGTTATTTATATGATTTTCCATGAAACTTATAACTCTTAATCGAAAAAAATATTAAGAGCTATTTAATGGCAGTGGTTGAATTCATGGCAGATTGTTTTTTTTATCTATATATGTATATACTTCTAGTATCAGTCTTCCTTAGTAAAGTTATTGCTAGTTTTGAATTTCTGCTAGCATCACTTAGTTTGTCTTATAGATTGGCATACTTTTATTAATTCAAGTAATATCATGTTATTACTGTTAAAAAGTTGAGTTAACTTGAGGATATTTGGATGACGGTAATAAAATGTTTTTATATGTTTTTGTAATTACAGTCAAGCACATAGTGAAAATCATCTCCAGTTTGATTTTCATTACATAACGTGCATTTTCAGGTACTATTCCATCTCCCTATCTATTGCTAGTTTATGGTTTCTTGTTCTAAAGGAAATATATATTCTACTTAATCTATTTGTTAAAATGTGGAGGTATTCACTCATGATGAAGTTCTGTTTAAATATTCTGTCGTTAATGCTGCTAGTTGATTTATTAGATATTTCATTCCAAGACTGTATATATTGATCATTAATTCTCTGTTTGAATGACAAAGCAAACCATTTATCATTTATATTTTTTTGATAAGTCCAAATATTACTGTACCCATTTGTACAAATAATATCTTTTTCAAAATTTATCCATTTTGAATTAAGAGACCCTTGTTCTTGAAGACTTAAGCTGATGAAATACATTTGATTTGACAACTTATTACTATTTATATATTTTAACAGGGTTTTATTCCTAATTTACCATTTAGCATATATAAGGGTGTTGATTTTTTAAATTGAAAATAGGTTTATAACATTTTAGTTGTACCTTCTCCACAATGTCATTATTTCCTTCTCCCCAAATTCAAATTTCACATCCATATAATAGAATTGCCTTAATCATTTAATTGAAAAGATCAATTTGTAGGTTATATTGTAAATCCAGGTTTCTTATATTTTCAGAAGGGAGAACATAGCCTTATTAGCTTGCTCTGCAATGTATTTTTTAGCCTTTTAAAACCTTTTTATATACTCCGAAATATTCCTTTGTCCGTGGCCAAGTGGTTAAGGTCGTTGATTTTACACCACTTGCCCCTCACCGCTGTGGGTTCGAATACCGACAGGGACTTTGGATTCTTTCATGTGAGAAAAGCTATCCAGCTACCTTACGGAACGTCGGTGGTTCTACTCAGGTGCCCGTTCGTGCCTGAAATAATGCACGGAAGGCCACCTGGGGTCTTCCTCCACCAGTAAAGCTGGAACGTCGCGATATGACCTATACTGTGTCGATGTGAGGTAAAACCCAAAACAAAACAAAAAAAATCCTTTGTAATTTCTAGATCAATTCCGCTGTATTTAATGTTATTTATAACTATTGCTTTTGAACCAAAAAATTAAAACTTTAGTTTTTGGGACAGTTACTGTTAATTTCCATGTGTCACAGTTTTTTTAAATGTTGAAGGTTTTTGGAGATCATCACTATCATTACTCATTAGCATAGTATTAGCATATAGAATGATAAAATATGCAGATGTTCCTTCATCTGTTCTTATACAAGACTTTATATCACTATACCTTTTTTAGTAAAATGAGTCATTTCCATTGATATTACTTTTAAACATTTTCAACCATAACCAATTTCTCCAGATTGTATTAAATGCCTGTTTGAAATCGATAAATGCACAATATCATTTTTTGACACTTAGTAAATCTATCAGACTTTGGATCACAAAAGATTGTCAATGGCTGAGTGATTTTCTCTCAACCCTGCTTGGCAGTTTGTTATTAGATTTGATGCCTTTGAAAAAGATTGATGTATTTCATTGATTACTCCCTAGACATCTTAAAAGAGTTATTGGCCAGTAGTTTCTGGAAATTTTGCATCACCTTTATTTTTGTATATTGAAAAAATAGTTTCTTCAGTCCAGCTGTTTGGGTATTATACCGTATGGGTATACATTGTGAGCGAATGTGGCAATGTTGATTTTTATATGTTCATTTAATTTATTATCTGAGCCAGGACTTTTATTTTTTCTTAATGTTCTAACTACTTTTATTATGTCTTGATATGATATAGGTCTATTTAACTCTTCGTTTAATTCATTTAAATTTTCATCATTTTCTTCCCCAGGGGTTTCATCATTGTCTCCATTATTTTCATCCTTGAATACTTTAGACAGGTCATCTAGTTTTATTTTACCTGTTATTTTAGACTGTTTTTGTCAACAAAGTTTTTTTAACCTTATTGGTATTATGGCTTATTTTTCTTTTACCAAATGTAATCAGACAACTTCCTGAAAAGTGTTACCTATCTGATCTACAATTTTGTCCAAATCCTGCTGTGATGTTATATTGATTTTTTTCAATAGTATTAATATCATCTAGTATTTTGTCAAAATTGGTCATATTTATGTTTTGGGGGAACTTTTTTTGAAAATAATAATTATCTGGTTTCAACTCTTAAACAACAGGGCAGTAAACATCTGAAATAAAAAGAGAAAACTGTTCAACCTTCAATTTTGAAATTTCTGATTTTTCTTTCAACACAAGGGTCAGGATGGGCATATTTTGACCTAATTATGACTGGCAGATATCATCATTTGCTTAAAGAGTAAAAGAAAAATAACTTCTCAATTACACTTACAACTTGCAAACGCCTCGGGTAAGAGTACATTCCTCGGGATGATAATTTTACTGTAACCCACAAACCATATGTTATTTATATAATAACCAGTTGCATATTACATGGTATAATAAAAACTGAAACTATTATACCGCATCGTATGGAAAATATAACGTCGCTATATCTATACGCATGTGATTATCACTTTAAAGTACCCAGACACTTTTTTTTTCAGACAGTCAATTTAGATTGGCCATGTGTCTAAAGGGTTGAAAATGCTCAATTCAATTCAATTCAAAAATTTTATTTACGTCTCATCACATGTACATTATATATATCACAATAAAAAAGAATAAAACTGGTAAAAGTACATATGCCATTCAGTATAGAATTATAAGAGACGTGTAAGCAAAGCTTACATCTATAGGTAAATATAATAAAAGATCATATTTACATACTTATATGATTATATACTATACATACTTATAATAAATGAATTGGGAATGTTGTGGATCTATCATTTTAAGTTTTCATATTCCTACTAATGTGTCTAAAAGTCTATATATAAAACAATTCACTAGTCTGATGTATAACAATTCTAATGAAATTTAAGAGAATTAAAATACTAAAATGTATAATAATAAAATAAATTCAATCTGTAAGATCCACAACACTCTATCTTAAATACCCACAACTACTAATAATACAATTCAAATGTTAAAATAAACACTGTACTATTAAAAAGACATTTATATTATTTACAGTACAGTAAAAATTTTCTTTCCTTTAAAATGTTAAAACAGGCTTTGGCTGTATATTTAACTATGTTTACATCAGTGAATAATATACAAAATTTCTCCTTATCAGATAAATTATCAAACCCATTAAAAACTCTTCTACTCTGTGTGTATAGTTCCTCTCTTATGGAGGTGTACAATGGACATTTCAGTAAAACATGCTGTAATATAATTATAATTATATCTTTTTTTCGGAGGGGGGGGGGGGAATTAGGAGTTTATAATTGTAGCGAATGTGTGATATAATAGATAAAATTGTTTAATTGTTTTTCGCGGGTGGCTTAAGATTGTGATTATTCGGGCTACATAATGATATAGTTGTAACAAAGAATGTTAATTGATGGCAATACATCTGTTAATTATGATACACAATTGTTAAATAAAGATAATGCGGCTAAGACCACGTGCAAATGTCGTTTATAAGTACCAGTAATTGTGTCAGATCATAGGTTAAAATTATGTACAGCGTATAATAACGATTGTTACTTGTTTGTATGTACCTAATTACCTTATAATCTAGGCTAATTTCAAAACAAAAATCTCTAAAAATGATAAATTTCGATGAAAATTGTTTAACAAAATGTTAAACATCCTAAAAATGATGCTGACAAAGAAAATACATATGGAGGAAAAACTCATAATGCTAATAAAAATAATTTCATTTCTATAAAAAACAGAATTTTGGAGACTGGTACATGTAAGGAAAACTCAATAATTCAAATAGATCATCTTCCTACTGCATTTTCAAGCATGTTATCAAGACTTTATTACGTATTATAAATACGAATAAATTCAGAATTGTTTTAACAACGTTTTGACTATTACCACATAATCTTGCCATTGAAATAGGTAGATATCAGCAAACGGCTCGGGAAGAAAAAAAAAGTTCAAATAATGAGGTCATTATCTCCTTATATGTTCAAATCATTATAACCTAAGGAAACAATATTTAAAACAACTTTTCTGTAGGTGTCCTACTATTAACAAATCGAATAAATGAGAAAACGCAGAAAACCTAAAGAACTTATCAACTTATTAGAATATATATCAAAAAACCCTAAAAAATTATTTAGATACCAATAAACTGAAAATATGTAACTTAAAAAAAATTATGAATTAAGTGCTTTTGACGAGAATTGAAATATATGCATAATTTTATTAATCATTAACTTTGATATCCTCATAAACTTGAATATCTTTTGTTGTTGTTGTTCTTTTTAAATAGAAATTACTGCGTTGTATTAACATAAAACCTTACTAGTTATTCTTGACAATTAAATATTCTTACCCCAACTGCAAATAGCTCAGAATGATGAACAATGGTAGCATTTTGCCTGTCATTTCAAATTGTCGTCTTTAACACTTTAATCCTTTATTTAAGCATTTAAAGTTAGTATTTATGCAAAATAGATGCACTTATACCTTATACACCTGTTGCTTTACTTATATTTATGAGATACAATTTGTCCTTTCCGAAGCGTTGATAATTATTGATTTTGGGTTAAAATTAGCCAATGAAATGTCAGTATTAGATAACTTCCTGAAGTAACTTTTACCTCAAGACATATTGACTAAAACATTTAGAAGAAAATGACGTCGTTTAGGTAAGTCAAAACTTTTATATTTTGATATTGGCATTCAAAAAATCATTCTTTTTTTTTTTTCTTTTAAAATAATATACAACAAAAATCTATTAAATTAACAATAAAAAACCAAACTCTCTTGTAATTGTATAACAATAAATAGTTTATTTTAAGAAATTTATTTTGTCTTTGGTGGTCAAATATTTTCCTTTTTCTAGCACAAATAGTTTTTGAAAAGAAGTTATTTAGCAAAAAATATTTCATAGATCATTACTAACATGAACTTATCATTCTTGCTTTTCTTAAAAAGGCGTAATGCTTAACCATGGTGAAAATATCTTTAAAAATTAAAAATCTGTTTCATACCCTTTGGTCATATATCTTGAGAGAGATAAAAATGTTATTGTTACTTATTGCAATTGACATTTTCTACAAAGAAATAATGATCAAATATCATTCTTTGATATATTTTTTTATAAAGGATACAAACGATACAGATTACTCAACAAAGTTTTATACCATTTAATTATTTAAGTTTTTATCATCAGTTTTTCATTATATTATATTGTAGATCACAAAAAGCATGACATTGTTAAACGAAAATCCCTGCCATCTCTGGCTGTGCTTCATTGTCCTTACAGTCAGTCCTTTAATTGTGACGTCATTCGTGAACTATGAGCCTGGTTATGAATATATATACAAAATTGACTCGGCTATAGAACTTTCAAGAGTACAGTCATTTGTTTTAAAAGGAAAGGTAATTATATAAATAACGGCACAAAATAAAATGAGAGGTTTACGAGCTCCACTAAGAAAACAAGTTTAAAGATACGGCTGAGAAAGACACATCAATTAAATACATAGAGTACAAACGTTATTAATAGGCTTAATAAAACAATGATAAATGATACAAATTATTTTTGGTATTATATATGAATATTACTGAATAGCATGTTTCGTGTAACGAACGACATATGGACCATTTTATTTATATAAAGCGACTTTTCATAAATTTTGTATGGGATTTAGCGATAGACATTCCGTTGAATCACCATTTTTGCATTTGGTACTGTTATTACAATTTAAAATAGAAAACAAGTATTTAAAGGCGTGCTCCTTAAAAGAATAAACTGGCATTGGATAGTATAGATTTTAAACAGATACGTTTTCTTTTATAATAAATTTAAAGGTGAAACAAAATGTTCAGTGGAATATATACAGCAAATAAACACAATAATTTTACAGATCTATCTAAGTTTGCTAGCATTTCTCACCTAATCATCTTGTAATAGCATTCTTATTGATATTTTCCTGTTATTACTGTCTAGATCGGATTCACAAATATAGCAGAAAATGAGGGATATCAAGAGTTGTTATTGTCTGTGTATTTGCTGAAGTTTAGTCCAGAAGGTCAAACAGGTATTTTAATGCTTGTTTCAATAAGAATAATTGAACGATTTGTTTCTTTTCTTAAAAAACACATGATTGTGATTTTAAGTTAATTACAATTTACCCATTATTCAGAAAACTTCTTTCAATTAAGAGTAGTTTAAATGATATGTGTAAGTATAACATGCATTTGATTTTTGTAAAACACATGCTTTTTATTTCATTTTCAGAAGGTGACAGCCACCACAAGGATTTCTCGAAATGGTAATATTTTCGTGCTTGTACACAAATTAACTAAATAAAATTTCCAATATTCATATAAGGCAAAAAAGATTTATACAATTCTAAGTTTTAATAGTGTTTCATGTAATATTTCAGCTAAGGTATTATGCATAAATGTCTGATTAATGGGTATATATGCACGCTTTGTCTCTTCTAGAGCTAGAATTATCTGTGAGCTTGCTTTATTCTCGTAAAACAAAACGCCAAATGTATGAATGTATGATATATATATTTATATAAAGTTTGTTTTTTTGCATTATAATTTTCGTTTTATTTTCCTTACCGAGGTTTTCATTTGAAATAAACCGCAATGGGGAAATTCGGACAGTTTATCATCCGCCGGATGAAGACAGTGAGGTTCTGATGATGAAAAAAGGATTTGCTAGCATGATTTCTGCCAAACTACACCATCGTCACGAGGTAAAATCATTCTATAAATATATACATTTGGAAACCTAGATTGTACTTCTATGACAGGGCATGAAAATAAAACCTAAATATGTAATATCTGCTATCCATAGTGTGAATACTACAATGAATGCTGTTTGTGTGTCATGTGGGTTTCAAAAACATCACTTGCAGAGGAAATTTACATTATCTCACTTGCTAAGACTCATCATTCAAATGGAGTCTGAATTATTATTATTTTGCTTTGTTTTCAATGTGTTTAGTCTATTTTGCCAAAAACTTTGTTTATTTAAAAAAGAGCAGTCATGATATAAAATATCCTTAAATAAATGTCACTTGCAGGTTGAGCATCATCTTAACAAGGATGGCCATTGGGTATACGCAACTAACGAATTAGGCAGGGAAGGTGAATCCAAAATTTATCATACAAATACTTACGCTGCTTAAGTAAAATATATAACGTTAGATCAATTCATACTTTTTATTGAAAAAAAATCTATTTACATTAATTATTGTATGCATAACACAACCCATTATGAAAATTTGCTACATGTAGGTCCTATAATGTCTGAAATTAAATGTTTTGCCTGTTTCTGACTAAGGAAACTCTAATTTTACAAAAATATGTCTATTTCTCAAAGTTCATCAACCTCCAATGTTTCGAGTGGTTACCCTTGGGAACGTTGCAGTTCGATAGACAAACTTTGCGAATTGTTTTAATAATTGTTTCCAAAATAGTATTTATACATTCAGCGACTTGCTTATATCTTAAACAATGTGTTATTATTCAGGCAAACATAATGCTTCTTACACAGTGAAAGCAACACCAACAGGAATTATGTACATAAAAACCAGAAATTCCACAATAAAAGATGCATTAAATGGAAATGGGACGCATGTTAAGGTATGATAATTTTACCCTTTGATCACTTAAATTTATTACTGAAGGATGAATTATCTTTATATTTATTCGACGACTTCAATCTTTGTAGTCATTTATCATTTCTACGTACAACGTATAAGCGGGTGATTTGAGCCATTCATTTTGGTTGTTTTTTTTATATTATCAGGTGACATTTTGTATGTTTTTCGTACAGATCTACAATTGGATACTCTTGCAGCTTTTCATAGACTACATTGGTTTGCTTTTAACAATAAAATTGAAAATTAAAAAAAAAAAAAAAAAAAAAAAAAAAAAAACCCAGTAAATGATGGAATGAATGTTTCGAATAAATAAGCGCTTGATAAAAACAAATATCATATTTGTAACATTTTGTGAAAATATTTTATTCATTCTTGTTTTTTTCATTTATCAGTGGCTTTGGACTGATGTACATTTGTTTTACAGTTGTAAAATACTTTTTGGCATGCTTTCAGGAGTTACATTACAATGAAGATTTGCGTACCATCCATAGTGTAATGATAAAAGAAGAATTTCATTTAGACTTCTCTGCAAAGCCGGGGTAAGCATTTATTTTTCTGATTGGGGTAGAGGGGGTCACTACTTTACTCTCACCATTGACGAAAACATATTTATAGCTATTCATTACATATTTTTGTCTTTGTTCCAAGATTACGAATGTTCAATACAAAAGAAGTGAAGATCATTAAATAATTATGGATAGAAAGAACATCTTTAAAAAAGAACACGAATACGTTATTATGATAATTACTTTAAACTTTTTATCGTTAACGTATAAAAAAAAAAGTTTTATGACGTTTGTTATAGTTTCCTTATTTCGCTGGCTTTTCAATCCACCGCATTTCAAATATATAGTAGTTTAAGGCAAAAAGTGTGTTTAATTCATACGGTACAGTAAAGTACGTTAAGAACTGAACACAAAACCCAACAAAATCATATTGCATTTATGATGCCAGTTTGATTTTTCTTGATACAAAAGTTAATTAAATGTGTGTGAATGTATTCAATTTAATGAATATATACAGAGTACGCAGAACGCCTTAAGTACGAAACTTACACTAATTTAATATTCTGTTATCACATATCTAAACTAAATCTTATACCAAGAAATTTGCCCAATAGAGTGCTCCTCTTTTCTAGAGTTTTGATTAAGGGCATAATAAATTCATAGTCATCACTATCGATATTTACCACTTTCTTGAACTTGAAGCACAGTTACATCCGTATCAGTAAACCCGAATAACAGCGTAGGTTAAACAGCTTATTAGCATAATATATTCATGGACTTGCAATAAATACAGGAGTTGGGAAAGCAAAACGGGTAATATTATTGTGTGATTATTAATGTAAATTATTTTAAAGCAAACCGTTTTTGAAGGACACTCTACTATTCTTTTTACTTTATTATAATTATTTTAATAATGTTGCAATTATTAAACACTGTTTTGTAATATTTTTAAAGACTTATATATATTTCCTTTAGGTTTAACCCTTTATACGGCATGAGGCCGGTTAAAGCTGTTTCGGGGTTTTCTGAAATCGGTACGTATCTGTTATGCAAAATATTTGTTAAATATATTTGTCTGTTTAACAAAAGCGCCAGTCAAACATTGTCCGCTTTAAAAGTCGCTTACTCACCAAATCGTATTGTCCGTTTCAATCTACATATTGCGCATTTGTTACAATGCCAACCAAGGTCTTTCAAATAGATTTTTTTTTGAAAAACCCTGTGATGGACAGGCTTGCGGAAGTGACTGACTTTATCAATCAAACGTGATCCTATTATTTAAAATGGAACACGATGTCACGCGATGTCTTTGTTGACTTGTTAGTAATTATACA